AGGCTACTTTCTTGGTGGTCCCTAACATGTACCAACGATTCGCTTCTCTCTGCCGCAGATGTCCCCGGCCGCTGCCGCCGGCCTGCCGCTGCGCCCCGCCCGCCGCCCGCCCCCGCGCCCCTCCGCCTCCGCGCTGGGTCTCGGCGGCCTGGGCGGCCTGAGGGCGGGCGCGTTGTCACCACCCGACCTGCTCACGGAGGCCGCCGGTGAGCACGGCCTCCCGGCCGTCCGTGACGCGGGGCACGCCGTCGCCAGTGAGATGCACTTGGACCACGCAGGTGAGTCTGTTTACTCGGAAAACGTGTTGAATGTGAATGTGCCCAGACCAGCACAATGCATTTAAATATTTTAGGTAGGCATGTGGCGTTGGTACTTATTTCAAGCAGATCAGATATCCAGATCCAAGGCCATATCAAAACTGGACATAACCGCGCTGTTCTTTATACCTTTTTCGATGGGCTGACCTCTGATGGCAACCCGAGGCAATCTTGCCTATCGTAGGGTTCCTAGTGGAGTTTCCAACACAGTAGGGCAGGTCAGCGAACGCACCTACCACGTCCCCTGTGGCCCTTGGTCCGTGGTCCGCCCCCTGGTCTCTCCCGGTGCCCGCTGGTCCCCATGGGCGCCAGGTGTGCTCCCAGCACGGCCCCGACACGTCGGAGAGGACCCCCGGTGGGCGAGGCCGGGTCGTGCAGAGCGCTCCGCCGGCCCGCTCTGTGTTCTCCCCCGGAGCTCGCCACGTCCTCGCTGTAATTCGACGCGACAGCTGAATCTCTCGTCGACATGGGCTGGGCGGCGGTGGGAGTACAGGCCGGGCGTCTGAGAGGTAGGCCCCCCGGCAGGCCACCGCGCTTCCGCCTCCCCGGACCCAAAGGCCTTCTTTGCCCTCAAATCGCAACGGACAGGTCCTGTATAGGCTCGCGCCCACGCTGGCCTTTCCTGTATTTTTTCCCCCGCCCGCTGTCTTCCAAAGTCGGAGTGGGGTCGATCCGCCCAAGTGGTGAGAGTGGGCTTTGCCTTCTTCGGCCCCCCCGAGGCCCCCGCGACCCCCCCACTGACGGGGCCCCTCCTCGCCGGCCCATTCCTCCCGCTGCGAGGCACGTCGGACCCGACAGGTATTTCCATCCCCACCTTACCTTCCGCGCCCGGGTGCGCATACCTGTCCCCATTACCCGAGCTGAAGGCTGAAGGTTCGCCGCCAGGCCCCGCGCCCCGCGCCCGACTCGCGCGCTCGAGTCTTTCAGCAAGAGACCAGGCAGAAGCAGCCCGACCCAGGAGGAAACCGGGAACCCCTCTCCCAATTCCCAGTATTTCATACGGCTGCCGGAACCGTCTTGAACCGTTCCCCCGCTCCTGGAATTAGTTTCCTCCGAGCAACAAGACCACTAAATTTATTTCTCCCCATCAACGTAGTACCCGTCGTCGGCGCGCGTGGCGCGCTCGCGCCCTTCTCTTTTCCGCTAAAAACCATTTGGAAATGTCGCATCGGGGCGGTCGAGCGTGCCGACGCCGCCGCGAGATTGAGCGAGAGGATAATAAACGCGGACAAGGGGCGTGTTTACCGTCCCTGTCGGCGAGGGACGTTACACGCGCCGCCGGCCGCTGCTGCTCCGTGCGCTCATTTCAACGCACCCAACTTTACTTGCTCGCCTGGCTTTACAGCGTCCTGTCCGCCGCCGAGCCCTTCCTCCGCACCCACGCGTCGGCCGGTGTTTTACCCCTCCTCCTCGGCCTGCCCCGACCCACGCCGTCGCAGCATGTTGTTCCAGCGAGCAAGGCTCACACCTTTCACGCGGGGCCTTCATCACATTCTCAAAACATGCTACATTTTTCAAAGACAACATTTTCAGTTTGGTTTTTTGAACTCGATGATTTTACATGGTGTATGTGGATTTTGAAAAGAAAAGAAAAGTTCACTAAATAATTGAAAAGTACGATTTTACTTCGTGTTGAAAAGTAAAAATGCATCCGTCGTGTTTTTTTTCTTGTGTGGCAGATGCCGTGCAGGTGCTGGCGCTGTGCGGCGCGGCCCTGGGCGCCGTCGTGGTCCTCGTCGTCGTGGTGGTGCTCTGCTGCCGTTGGCGCCGCGACGACCACAAGAGCGGCGAGTACGACAGCCTCGGCCCCAGCATCGTCGTGTACCCGTCGTACCACGGCAAGGGCGCGCAGTTCCTGTAAGACCACAGCCTTGACAGTTTGCTGCTGCTGTTGTTGGAAATTGTTTATTTTGTTATTGTTGAGCCGAGCCTGATGTCGCCGTCGGCGGCGCTGCCTCTCAGGTCCAGCGACATCAGCTTCAAGGTGCCCCCCATCGCCAAGCTGCGGCACACCTCCTCGCTGGACGCCATGGACCTACTGGACTCGGACGACACGGACGGCACCTCGGCCACGTCCACCATCACGGCATGCACGTCCCAGACGCTCTCCGCCGCGTCTCCGCTCAGCAGCCACTCGCAGCGCTCCAACTCGTTCAGTGAGTGTCCCTCTTTTTTCCGTGCTTTTATTACCAGATAGGGCCAGGTCGGGGGAAAATGAGACGCTGGGAAAATGCGACACCATTTTTTTCGTCGAAGGCTAACACAATCAGAATATTATTTGTTGAAATTTGGTGCTTTAAATTTAGTCCAACCCAGGCGTTGAGTTCACATGATATTTTTTAATTTTGGGGAATTTTAACGCAATATGAGCCATCTCAATTTTCTCTGACCTGACCCTACCTCAAATGAAGCCCTTCCAATCGAGTCCCATCATCCCCCGAGCGAGAAGTGTGCTCCTATTGAAAATTACACACACCGGATAAAGACTGCCCGAGAGACTGTCGCTCCTTTTTTTCGCTCTTCTTTTTTAGTCTCGCACGCGATATATCGGAACGGAATTACGTTTCTTTTCACGAGAACGTGGCCACATCACAGCGTGACATTCAACCCATCACACACACAGCGAGTGCCCTACTTTTTTCCTCTTTCCCTCCCACCCCGCCGCCGCCGCCGCGCGGACCTCAACAATTTGAAACGGGGGGGTGCGTCGACACGGAATATAAATAAAGTCCCTGGCGCATCAATCGAATCAATTCAGTGGTGGCCTCTGCTGCCCCGCCGCCGCGCCAGTGCCCCGTCAGAGCCGCCAAAAGCGACCCCAAGGTCGTCGCCATGGCAACAAAAATAATTATTCCAATGGCCGGAGCCGGGGCGGGCTCGCCTTTGATGAGCAGAGAGCCCCGCACCTTGTACCGCTCGCCAGAGTTTGTTTGTCCAGTCTATAGTGGGGGAGGAGGGGGGAGGGCTGATTGGACCCCATTGCGGCTCATCGGCCGAACGCCCCGCCCTTGCTCTTTCCTCCATCCGGCCCCACCACGCCCCACCACGCCCCACTTGGACCACGCAGGTGAGTCTGTTTACTCGGAAAGCGTGTTCAATGTGAATGTGCCCAGACCAGCACAATGCAATTAAATATTTTAGGTAGGCATGTGGCGTTGGTATTTATTTCAAGCAGAGCAGATATCCAGATCCAAGGCCATATCAAAACTGGACATAACCGCTGTTCTTTATACCTTTTTCGATGGGCTGACCTCTGATGGCAACCCGAGGCAATCTTGCCTATCGTAGGGTTCCTGGGGGAGTTTCCAACACAGTAGGGCAGGTCAGCGAACGCACCTACCACGTCCCCTGGGGCCCGTGGTCCGTGGTCCGCCCCCTGGTCTCTCCCGGTGCCCGCTGGTCCCCATGGGCGCCAGGTGTGCTCCCAGCACGGCTCCGACACGTCGGAGAGGACCCCCGGTGGGCGAGGCCGGGTCGTGCGGAGCGCTCCACCGGGCCGCTCTGTGTTCTCCCCCGGAGCTCGCCACGTCCTCGCTGTAATTCGCCGCGACAGCTGAATCTCTCGTCGACATGGGCTGGGCGGAGGTGGGA